GAATGTACAGGAGAGTGGGTGCTTAGAGCCGTCAGTAAGCTCAGTTTTGGTGAGCTGTCAGTATGCGGTTGGAGTACACTGCAAGCGAGCGCATTAAATCAGCGATGCTTAAAATTTAATTGGACATAAAACATATGCGTGCCACACAACACGCACCCTTGGCTAGATAGAAACAACAATAACAGGGCGAACAGTCGAAAGTTGTGTCGAAACCACAAGAGAATTAAAAACAGATACTGATTTCCGCCACACCAACCAGCAAAGCTGAACAAGAAGTGCGAGGCAGCATCGCCCGAGGGGTTTGGCAAGCGGGGTGTTCACTACCTAAATAGTTAACAAACAACAATCAAACATAAATAAATAAGAAGTAATTCAATTTGCAACCTAACGATACATAACAAGTCATAACCCGAGGTCGCTTGAACGCTTCAGCTCTGAGGGTGAATTCCAAAGCTGCGCGCTATATGTACACACAGCCCAACTGTCAGCAACCGCCACACCCACTATTTATGCAGTAAAACACACGGCTAAACCGGTGCAACAACAAAAACAGCAGCAACAACAACAACAACAACGATAACAACAACAAATAAATTATTACATTAAGTCAGCTGCAGTGGCGGAAAAAAGATTTTTGATGTTTGCTACAATGGAATATTTTTGGAATAAAATATTTTTTTTTTTTTCAACGGCGTAAGTGGAAGTTGCAAGTGCCCAACGATTGCAGACGGCCCGCTCAGTGGTCAATGGTCAGTCGGTGGTCAGCTGAAGTTCTTCAAACAACTTGATTTCCACATACCTTTGTTGTACTTTCTTCATCTGTACGCCAGCTCTGCCTTTTTGCCTGCCTTTTTGCTGGCGGCCTTTGTAAGCTTTAGAGGATCTTTAGCTACAGTAAAAGCAACAACAATTTACAATTTAATGGCGAAGATGACGCAAAAAGCGTTCGCGAACAACGCACAGCTCGGCACTTGTAGATTTCACTTTCATGTTCTTAATTTGATATTGTGCGCTGGCCAACAAAGGCTACAAAGCCAAAGTGACCGCCAGCGTCAGTTGTTTAATAGCTCGAAGTGCTCTTGGTCAAGTTGGCATCGCAGCGGTAGAAAACTCCTGAATAATTGTATTATGAAGACTAAGCAGCGTTTAGGTATGTATGTATCATATAATCCACCTGTGTGGCGTTGGCGCTGCTCGTGGGTGAGTGCATGGGACTAAGGGATCATTTGATTTGAATGGTCATTTTACGCACGAATATAACACTAATTGGGCTTGAGAGAAAAGTTAATGATTAAATAATAACAAAATAAAATAGAAAAGGATGAAAAAATTGTTTGAAAGATGGTATGGACCTTAGCTTTGCTCACCCTTTTTTTTTTCTTCGATCCCACAAGCAAAGTTTGTGCAGCCCATTGAAGAGCTGTCCATAAGCTCCAACCCCTTCCTCCTTATTAAGAAATAGTAAGACTTTATACTGTTAATCCTCGCCCTCTCTTAAAACTAGTTGATGTCTTGGTAAAATTGACGGCTGACGTCGCTGCCGTTCAAGAAGTTTGATGGACGGGATAAGGACGGAAACTACGCCTAAATAAAGGAGTGAAAATTCGGTGTCGCATTTGTGATGTGCCTGCCAAGACTCCGTCACCGAGTACTGGCATTCACTTCGACGAATGAAAGTCTCGCCAAAATCCTAATCAGAGCAAACATGCTCCGAAGGAAGATGTGACCATGGATGCCTATTATGAGGGCTGCCCCCGCAGCTAGGGTTGGAAAAGAAGGTGTTTTCGGCACAACGCTTTGACAATTTAGTCTCTACCAACCCGCAATGGGCTGAGGCTCGACTTGCACTCCTGCTCTCTGAGAGCACTCATTAGCATCTCGTTATAATGGAACTGTGGAAAGGCATTTCAACTTCCCCATGTACAGCTGCGAATGAAACTATTGGATTTCGTAAGCTGTGCAAATATAGCTGATATGATGAGGAGTGCCGTGACGCAGTTCAAAGAAAACAGACTGCCTCGCAACCTTGAGATCGAGCACAACACGTGCGGGATGGGATAGATACCGAGAGCTGAAGAGCAAAGCAAGACGCAATTTGAATATAAGGCAACAAGGGTAACGTGTCGGCCAGCTTTTTAAGCTCATCGTCCTACCGCATTTCGACCTCTTACTTTTTTCCCCTGGAAATGCGAAGGTTTTAAGAGCGGACCAATACTCATGTTTGAATCAATGTGGAAATCTGGTAACGGATATACAGAGCACACTTGAAGTATGGGGGGAATACTGCTTTAGCCTGCTGAAAAGCAGTGAATATTAAACACCCGGAGATGGGGAACCCGAAACCCCAATCCATGATGATGGAAGAGATGTTCAAATAGCAATCGGCCGAAAGCATGCCTGACAATTGGATTTTAAGTGTGGAGCACACGATACCAATCCATATACAAGGAAATTCCACTGTCTGTCTGTATGATTTCTTCAATTTGACGCTGGAGAAAATCATACGAAAATAGAAAAGTTGATTCCGTCCGTATAATATTTGGATAATTTCTTAGGAAATTTTTCCCAGAAGCATCGCCACATATTTTTATATTGAAAAAGAAGTATTCCTAATCCAGGATCAATCATTGCTTATGGCTGTGAGATGTGTCATAGATTTTCGCCTTTGTCTAAATCTCTTTGAACGCTTTGATTTTCGAATTTGCCCAATTTCAATATACGACAACTGGGGATTTGAATTTGCATTCTTAAAAGTTGGCTAAAGCTTACAAAAGACTTACAGTAAACTCATAAACTTAAAACCCTCCACCGAATGCTTTACCGTTATCGGCACTAATTACCATTAAGGAAATTTACAACACTTCACTCTGTTGTCATTACAAGCCACACCTCACTATGATAGCTTTTAAATCGTTCCATCAGTCACCACCCACCAAGAGCAGCAGCTCGTTAAACAATTCACAACTGTAATTAAGAAATTGCAAAAATGACAATAAAATCGTCGAAGAGGAAATGCAACCACTTACCGAAACAAGTGCAATTACACTTGCAGAAATGTACACATGAATGTACATATGTATGTATGTAATAAGTGTGTATATACAACACCTAAGAGATAAGGTGTGTTACCACGTTGTACCAACAAATGGATGTCTCGCAAATGACACTGTGCGCCTCCATTGACGCCACATCAACTCACAAATGACACTTTATTTTAATATTGTGCTGTTGCATAGATTGCAAAAATGGTTAATCCAAAAATATTACTAAATAGCTGCATTGCGTCAAGCTCACTTTCAGCGTCCAATGCGCATCTTTATGCGCAATCAACCAACTGTGTGCAAGCATCAACTTTTAGCGCCATTTAATCCAGATACATACAGTCAGAGTCATAAGTCTACAAGCAGGCAGTATGAAAATGTTTGTTTCAAATTTTTTTTTAAATTAAGTAATTTATTGAATTCAAATTTTACTATTCTTATACAATATTAAATGTAGAATGGTGGCGCCAAAATTCTTTGCACGTGTTCGCAAAACAGACGAGATAACGGTACTTTTAGTTTTCAACGTAACAATTCCAGCGATNTATGTACATATGTAGGTACGTACATACATATGTATGTAGATTAGCTCTTCGGCACATTCCCCAATGATAGCGCTGTAAATTGAGCGCTTTAGGAGGTGGAAGGGCAAAGTGTCTTGCTCACGCGTACATATGTACATATGTACATACATACATGTACATATTTTAGGTAAGCAACTAGCACTCGCTCGCCAACTAATTTAGCTAATTGCAATGCCATTTGGGGATTGCTTATGAAGAAGTGCATGTTTTTACACCTCTGAATGCGCATGAAAGCACACACACCCAGATTTTAATATGCATTCATATGTGTACATATGTATGCATGTGTGTATATTTACCCAACAACTTTTTCTAAGAAATTACATATTTATGAAAAAAAAATCACGATTTGCTTTGAAATAAAACACGTGACCGGAAAAAATAACAGTTTTACAGCCACTGTAAAGCTCGAACGACGCCACATTATGGAAATATTTAAAAGTTTGAAGGCTTTAGTAAAAACAGTGTAATTCCACGCAAGGTTGCTTTTTGTGATAATTTTATTGTGGTGCCATCTAGCGTTAACACCAAACATAAAGGTTGCGGTATTAGAAGAGTCAAGTTAAGAGAAAAGAAAGGTTTCTATATTGGGTGCCAGCAGCCCTGTTGGAATTTTATGAGATTCAGTTTCGATTATCAACAGGCGACAAGGCTGAGTAGTAGTTGATGGAACAAGTAAAATTATTTAAAACCAACTTAGAAGCAAGTATGGACTCTTATCTGTCAGTTAAAACTTCATAAATCGGATAAGGCACGTTATTTAAATTTTTGACTGACACCAACTCCAAATTATCGTAGAAAAGTGCGTTTATCTTGCTAAAACTTGTGAGGTTTCTTCCAATTAAAATCTGTTTAAGGAAATGACATTATAATGGGTTTGCACTAGTTTATTCTATGTTTATATCGAAGTGATCGAAAATATTTAACCCGATGGCAAATATGACTTTTGTGCCGTGTTACATGACAGATCCACTTTAAAGTCTGAGATGAATACATGCAATTCTAAAGATAACATTCCAAATTCGCTTCCAGGTATTTCAAGTATTATAATTAAAAGAGAAAACTTTAAAAAAAGTTAAATTGAGCACGGCAGTGAAAACATTGGTATAAACTGAAGCGGAGTAAACCGTGAGTTTGCACGAGAATAAACTGTGTGTATGTAGAGATTTTTATAGTTAGTAAACTGTACATTTTGCAGACAGTGTGATTTACTATGTAATCAACTTTATATGTCGTAAAAACTCGAAACTAAATAATGTGTTACCATTCGTATATTTCCATCTGCGTTGACTTTTTCAGCTTCAACGGCGCAGTACTCCTCAAAAGTGCTTATAGCGCGCTCTTCTGGCAACATCGTCCATTTATTTTGCTTTCGCCTTTTCAAATTTACTTCACAATTTGTTTCGTGCGTCGACTATTTTTTTTCATTGTACGTCAATACACAAATATTTCCGCAAGATTTTCATATGGAAATAAAAAACAACAATAAACTTCATTAACATTTACAAGACATGTAGTTTAATTGTTTTTAAAGACGTCATAGAAATTCATAATATTTTTTAGTGTAATTCCGATAGCCATCTCTCGATATGTAAGCGTTATTCAAATAGCTTGTGTGTGTGCGCGTGTGTGTGCGTCCGTCTGTCTCTGCATCGGTGTGTCTATTTCTCGTTGTGATCAAACGTCGCGGTGCCCGCACCAATGTTCCAGGTGCGATGAATCATACATATTCGAACAAGCGTTTGTAAATATATAACAAGCGTAGCAAATAGAAATTAAAAACTTTTTGCTGCTAGAAACCAACAACAGAGCAGTGTCCAATTAGTGACAAAAGAGCGAAAAATGCATTTTCGAAAAGCTGTGCTAACAAGGTAGAATGTGTACAAATTGTTAAAAAAAAAAAAAACATAAGGCAAAGTAGCTGCTCAACGAAGATAGGAAAAAGTCTAAAGTTGAACTCAAGGCTGAAATACCATTCGTTACCCAAAGCAAAAGTGTGAAAGTTAGGCGTACACCAACTTGACGGAATCTTGGGGCTCTACTACAGAAGCTAGGGTATCTCTTTGTTGGTGCCGAACGCAAAAATGAAAATGGTTAAACTATTCTTCAGGTAAGCCCTAAACTTTTGAAATATATACTGCCTGACACATTTTGTAGCATTTTTGTTTTCATTTCTCTTACGCTTATAAGCCATAAGTGATGTTGAAATTTATTATGAATGAATTGCTTATCTGCGCAGTAGTTGCATCCAACACAACCAAGATCAACGCACTATAAACTGCTAAAGTAGGTACCGCCGACCTGCTTTATGAGCTGGCTACCATACACGTTTCGTGTACTCCAAATGCCGTATTGCTGGTAGCTATTGTCTCGACCGGTGCTGCAGCACTACATACTCGCTGTCTGGTTTTTTATGTCCCCCCTCTTCATCGTGTTCTGTTGTACTTATGCGTGCCTACGCGCAGCTATTCCGTATACTGGTTTATTTTCGTGAATGACGTAATGCCATCAGCTAACAGCTAGCAAAGTAGTCGTCGTATATGTATTGTACAAGCAAAAGCCAGCTATAGGTATAGCAAACAGCCAACTTAACAGAACCGACAGCAACAACTAATAGAGTGGCATATTATGCCAGCAGCTAACAAATCCACATATACAAATTGTATTTTAAATTCAAATGTTATAAATGTACACAAAGGCTATAGTAAAAAACAAGAAATAAATGAAAAAGAAACGACACGCGCAAGAGCCCAAAACAGTCGTTGTTGGTAGGTGTTTAAGCGTTTATGCATACGAGTACATACATATGTATGTATTGATATGTGCTTGTTTATACAGCGTTTATTGCTTTTGATGCTTCGCACTGTCGACAACGACTGCACTGCTTGCCGCAGAAGTGGCGAAGTCGTCGCGATGGCGGTGTTGTTGTGTGGGCTGGTTATCATTTTGTGCTTTGCTCTTTTTTTAATTCAGTCTTTTCATTATTATGAATACTGCGTACAACTTTCTGTGGCCTGTGGCTTGTGGCTATGTATAGTACTCTCTCATCGTGTGTCGACTGAAATTTGGTCAATGACCCACTACTACTGACATTTCCTGACATGCCTCAATGTTTATTTTAACAACGATGACGTTGCTAATGCAACGTCGTAGTTATCGATTGGAGAAGATTAGCTTTTGTTCTGTGTGTGTAAATATTCTTTTAACATTTCCTCTTCAATTCGTAGGATTTCACAACTTAATAGCTTGTACAACAACAAATAAAAAAAATGGAAAAATGAAGTATGACCCAATTATCGCCACAACACATGTGATGATAATTTATCGATTTACTGATTAGTTGCAAAATTGTCAATTGCACTTTCTTTGCCAATTTAAAATTACAATTCTTACGATTTTCTAAGTAAAGAAGATTTCAGTTAGCACATAAAGCTCTTGTAATTCACAACTGCATTGCAGTTTCAAAGTGGAGTGTGGGTTTTGTGAAAAAAGGATCAAGTGTCTGTGTGTGTGTTTTTTTTGTACCATAGTTCAATTGATATTCTTACATAAATTAGACCTTTCCTTTAATTATATTCATATATAAAGATGGCACACTAATTAGAACACCCTACCTTATTCTAATAATAATGCTTGAAAATTGAATATAAGGGTATTTTATGAAGTTTTTCTCCGAGATTTGCTGTCAATAAAATTTTTAATAGACATTAGTGTGAAGCATTTAAAATCGAAGATTGCAAGGGAACTAATGGAAAGGAAGAGCGCTTAATATGGAACATGTTCCAAGAAATTTCCTGTTGCTTTAGAAGTTCGAAGAAAAAAATTCAAATTTGTCAGATTACAAATCTAAATTCAAAATACACGGACCTGACGCCCCCTAAGTAAAGAATTGGAACCGAAGTATACCAGGAAGGCGGTTAAGTTTGATGTGGGAAGTGTTATGGAGTGGTGTTGGTCCTATTGTACAGATAACGGGCAAGCTAGATTCTGCAATTTTTGTTGCTTGCCGACAAATAAGATATCTAAGCCACCTCCGAATGGTCAATGAATCTTTTTTTCATGCCATGAAATACACTAGATCATTCTAGGCCTCTTTTTAAACTTAACAGTAAAGTATTATTTTCCTTAACTCGCATCTATCATCAGAATATTTCCTGTGGCTGTCCTGAGGGTGATGTTTTGGCAAGCCTGTGACTTTTGCACAGATCAGTACAGCGTAGTTTACGACCGGTCGGTCAATTACCTTGTACGCTGCAGGCAAAGTTTATTTGTTTCCCCCCCCCCAGTTGCTGCCGGCTAGTGCTTTGAGAATTTTGTTGAGTCTCTGGAGTTATGCGGCAATTGCAGTCATATGCGGTCTGTCGAATGTAACTTCCAGTAACTCTGGGTTGTTTGTGGTCGGAATTTTGAGGCCATCGAGTTAGAGCTTGTGCTCTTTTGTCCAGCTGGTTATAAGGGAGCCGACCATTTTGTCGGTTGTACTTTTTTTTTCCTTAATGATGTTTCTCTATCTTCAAAATACGCCGAGACTACCTTCTTGAGTTAATTGTCGTTGATAAATATCGTTGCCCCCCGTATGCAGGGCAGCCAACGAACGGAGGCGTGAGCATTCTCTGCACTCATCTTATGCTCATCTTAATCACGTCAAGACGATCGTGTAGGATTTTAAAAATAAGTGTTTTGGATGCCCCAACCATNTGGGTTGTTTGTGGTCGGAATTTTAAGGCCATCCAGTTAGAACCTGTGTTATTTTGTCCAGCTGGTGATAAGGTAGCCGAGCATTTTGTCGGTTGTACTTTTTTTTTAATGAAGTTTCTCTATATTCAAAATACGCTGAGACTACCTTCTTGAGTTGATCGTCGTTGATAAATATCGTTGCCCACCGTATGCAGGGCAGCCAACGCACGGAGGCGTGAGCATTCTCTGCACTCATCTTATGCTCATCTTAATCACGTCAAGACGATCGTGTAGGATTTTAAAAATAAGTGTTTTGGATGCCCCAACCATGTGTGCGAGTTGTTTCTTCTTCAGTCGAGCATCGCCGAGTACAATTTTTTCAATGTGATCCGTTGACCAAAACTGGTTTAGGTCGTCAAAACGGTGACAGCCCTTGACCGGATTAAATTTGGAACTTTAATAGTTCGAACCCGCTGAAACAGCTTGTTTTCTGGGCCTCCTGTTAGATGACCTCAATGACTTAGCCTTATCTTGGCTGCTCCTAAGCGGGGTTAGCAAACCGCTACAAACACAACTACAACAACAACAATATTTTTTAAATTTTTTGGATAAATTCTGGCGTGGTCACCTCGTTACTTCTGTCAGGCCGGCATGTCTACAACATGAAAACGATCTCTCATGTGGTAAACGAAAGTGCTTTTTTAAAACTTATTGGGATCCGTCTTGGGTTTATATCTTTCAAAAGACGCTTGGCTTACTTGCCCAAAATAGCTCCGCAGAACTATCTCTCTTATGTCCAACCAAAAACAATATTTAAAGTTTGCGTGGCCTCTTCCGGTCGCAGAATCTGATTTAGTTTGCACTAACCTTACCTCAGCTCTTTATTTTCTACTACATATTGCCTGTGGAAAAGAGAGGAAAAAAAATCTCATCAAATCTGAAACTAGATCTCGAAACAAAATTCATATCATCTACAAACAAATTTATTATTAAACAAACCGACCAAAAAAGTTATCTAAAATCCTCCCATTAGCTGAAAGCTGCACAACATTACTGCAATCTCCTCAACAAATAATTAATATGTTATCCTCAAATCACCTTTTATCACAACTAATTGAACATGAAGACAAAAAAATATGTACATATAAATAAAAAAAATTAAATAAATAAAAATGTTCTGCATATTTCCAGGCTGATAAGGTCGTTTGAGTCCATTATCCAAATGACGTCAAGCGCTGCAAAAATGCCAATGTTTATAAAACCTGATAACCAATTTAGATAAGAGAAATAAAATTGTTGATTGCTTTTGTTTTGTGTACGCTTATTGTACTGATTTAAAAACGTAATTTATGTTATCATTGTTGAAATTAACATTACCCATTTATTATTATTATAATATCGGCTGCAAGAAGTGCGCCTACAATCAAATCCTCCAGCAATATTTATCTCTACACAATGCATCGTTTATTGCATTAAGTGACAAACAACAGTTTGGCAGTGGTGTAACAAATAAAATTAACATTTTTCACTGTAAAGGGGACCAGGGACATTCATTTATACAAGACTGACAGTGAGTCGGTGGCGCGTGTAAAAAGTGAAGGATTAGAGAGCGTAATTTCTTCAAGGTTCTATAATGTGAGTGACAAAAGGTGTGAAGAAAGCAAAGGAAACTCTGAGATTAATATATGTATGCTTTAGATCCTATAAATACTTATTAAAGGTCAGGACTTTGAATGGAGGCAAGTTGCGTTGGCAGAGCCACTTTTTATCCCCGCTAAACGTAGTACTTCTCCAACTCAAGTGAACCTTCACTTTTCCAAGAAGATCTGTCACTTTGATATTCATAGAAACTTCTGCATTAAACGATCGATGGTTTCGTTGCTTGTGTGTGGCACGTAGTGCCGTCTTGTTGAAAGTAAACATTATACAGATCAATACGATTGATTTCCGGCTATTGTAAAAGTTAATCATCTCTCGATAGCAGCATCCCGCCGAACCATAAACCGCACCAAACAGTAATACTTTGAGGGTGGAGAAGGCTTTCCAACAATAAATCTTGTGTTTTCCGAGCCCCAGCTGCGGCAGTTTTGCTTGTTGACGTAGCCATCGAGGTGGAAATGGGTACCATAAGTCAAGATAATTTTTCGTTGAAATTTTTATAATGATTTTTAATAACTTCAACGCTTTGTTGAGGCGTGTATCGTTCCATTTTTATTACTGGCGTAATTTTACTTGCCAAATGTCAAAAAATTACAGGTTCAAACGCGACATCTACAGGAACAGCAGCTGATTTCGTATAGATGTCATCAGGGCTGCTTTAAAGCTTTAAAGTGTACATCAATTGTTAATCCCATAAAATACGAAGAAGGAGCAGCCCTATTCATAAATGAATCAAAAAACATCGCAAATTCATTTTGCATCACTCGGCGGTAC